AGGCTTTGCTAGCGTAGTAGACAGGTCGCTCAATATTCCCATCCTTTCGAATGAGAACGGAACTTACGGCTGAAGCTGATACCGATAGGTAGATAATGAGAATGTCTCCTACCTCGGGCTTTGGAGAGTAGAGGGGCTTTACTCATGTACTCCTTGAGGTTTTTGAATGCCTCGGCACATTCATCAGTCCATGTAATGTACTTCCTACTTCCCTTAAGTGCTTTAAAAAAGGGAGCACATTTGTCTGTGGCCTTAGAAATGAACCTGGTTAAGGCTGCCACCTTGCCAGTAAGGCTCTGGATGTCCTTTGAAGTTACCGGTTCCTTCATGTCGAGGATTGCTTTGATCTTCTCGGGATTAGCTTCAATGCCTCGTTGGCTAATCATGAAAACCTAAGAATTTGCCAGAGCCTACGCCGAAGGCACATTTGTTGGGGTTTAACCTCATTCGATACCTCTTCAAAATAGTGAAAGTTTCATATAGGTTGGTGATGTGTTGGTCAGCATGTTTGCTCTTGACTAACATATCATCAACGTAAACTTCCATGCTCTTCCCAATCTGCTCGGCGAACATTGAGTTGACTAGTCTCTGATAAGTCGCTCCTGCATTCTTTTAGGCCGAAAGGCATGACTTTGTAGCAGTATAGTCCTCTGTCGGTAGTGAAGGCTGTGTGTTCTTGATCCGAAGGGTTCATGAGGATTTGGTTGTATCCTGAGTAAGCATCCATGAAGCTCAGGAGTTCACACCCGGCCGTAGAGTCTATAAGTCTGTCAATAAGAGGAAAGAGGGAAGCTATCTTTCGGACACCCTTTGTTTAGGTCGGTGTAGTCAACACACATTCTCCACAAGACCTTTTGAAGCAAAAGACTTTCTTTGGTCGGATTTTTCTTAACAAGGACCACATTTGCTACCCATGTCGGGTAATTGACTTCGCGGACAAAGCCTATGCCTTTGAGTTTTTCAACTTCTGCTTTCATTGCCTCGTATCGTTCAGCGTCATAAGATCTTCGCTTCTGTCTCACCGGCTTGATCTTGGGGTCAATACTCAAACGATGACAGATGACATCGGGAGAGATGCCTGGCATGTCCTCGTATGACCAGGCGAAGACTTCAGTGTTCTCTTTCAAAAAAGATATCAATGCTAACCGAAGGGGTGGTGACAATGTGGTGCCAATCTTCACCATGCGATCTGGATAATCTCTTGAGATAGGTACCTTCTCCAACTCTTCAGCAGGTTGGGGCTTGCTGGGTGAAAGAGTCATCTCGAGGATCATCGGGTTGATTGTTGCTATCAGGAAGATCCAAGTTCGCTTCATCTAGGCTGGTCTTTGTGACTTGGTCATGTACAGACAGGGTTTCCTTGGGTCCGGGCAAGTGTTGTTGCTTAACTGAAGTGTTTGTAACATGATCGTGCACTAAGCTGATCTCCTCTGATGTAGCCGTTGCCATGGGGGGTTGGAAATTTCATCAACAGCATATGCGTGGATACCATAGCCTTGAGATCATTGATGCCTGTGCGCCCAAAAGATGACATTGTATGCCGTTGGGCAGTCAACCACTAGGAAGTTAGTGGTAATGGTAGCCGTGTAAGGGCCTGTACCAATAGTAAAGGGTAAATGTATGCTCCCTAAGGGTTGCACGATATCACCGGAGAAGCTTATCAGAGGAGAAATCGAGCGATCGAGCAAGTGTTCAGCTACACTGAGTGCCCTGAAAGCTTCGGCAAACATGATATTGACCGAAGCCCCTGTGTCTACGAGGATTCGTCGAACATCAAAGTTGGCTATGTGAGCCTCCACGATCAATGGGTCGTTATGAGGGTAGATGATGCCTCTTTCTTCCTCAGGGTAGAAACATATCGGATCCCAGTTAGGCTTTTGATACTTCCCTCCCCTGATGTCTTCCACGTGAAACACTTGGTGACCAGGCCTCAGAATTCGTTCACTGTTTTTCATGGCCCTATTGGAAGATTCAGATATGGGTGTGCCGCCGCTTATGGAATATATGACATTCACCTGGCGTTGGTTACGGTTATCCCTTTGAGGGTGAAGGAGGAATTGATCAATTTTTCCTTCTCGTGCCAAAGCTTCAATACGATCACGGAGGATGATACATTTCTCGCTATCATGGCCGTTATGCTCATGGTAGCAACAAAACATGCCCGCGTTATTCGGGGGCGTGTAATCTGGGTGCCTCGGCTTTGGCTTTGGTATCAGGTGAGCTATGCTGGGGTAAATGGCCGCGCATGTGGCATTCAAGGGCGTGTATGTCTCATACCTTGGGGTAGGGGGTATCTTGACGCGGGTTTGACCCACTGCATTGACTGCCTGGGGGCGAGCGTTATTGTGGCGATACCCTTGGTTATCGGGATAGTGTCCCTTACTCTTTTTACTGAAATGAGAGTGGTGAGGATGGAAATCCTTCCTCTTGCCTTGAAATTGATATGTTTGTTGATTCGGCGAAGCATTATGCAAGGCATGGGGAGGTGCCACTGCTGTTTGGAAAGTCGAGGTCTTCTCATTTAGGTGAGTCTGGCTTCCACCTCCCACTTGTTGATAAAGGATGGTTGTAGGGGGTTTCTCCTGATATGTCTTTGCCTCGGCGGAGGCATGGTTATAAGCCTGCGCCATCACCTCAGAGTAAGTCTTCCAAGTATTGGCTTTGATCATGTATTTAAAGAAACAATCACGTAGGCCTGCCGTGAAGGCTTTGAGGGCAGTCTTGTCGTCTGCCTCGGCACACCGGGGAGTATTCATGGCTGAAGCGGCCAGCATACATACGTAATGACTCGTCTGGCTTCTGGCGGATAGTGTACAGGTCATCTGCAGAGTGCAAGCGATCGGTTTGGAAAATGTGTTGGGAAACAAATAGTTTCCTCAATTCCTCAAATGAGTCTACCGTCTCAGGTGTAAGACGACAATACCAATTTAGAGCTCCGCCAGAGAGGGTGGAGGGGAAGAGAAGACATCGCTCTTCGTCGGTGTGCATCCGGTATGCCATGGTGGACTCAAAGAGGTTAAGGTGCTCAATCGGGTCCTCTTTTCCAGTATAAAGTTGCAAGCCAAGCTTTTGCTTTGTCTTTGCTTGAAGGGGGGTGTTGAGGATCCTCCTTGTAAGAGGGCCAGGCCTGGGTTGGTTCCAGTCAGGTATTTCAGCCTGACGTTCAGCCTTCAACTTGTTTACTTCCTCAATAAGTTGTAGGACAAGGGGGTCCTGAGCGGAGTTATGTGCCACTGGAGCTTTCTTTCGTAAATCTCCATCTCCTCTTGGAATTAGGAAGGTTTGATCAAGGGCATGTGATTTTTCCCTGGACTCGTTGTACTGGCTTCCAGGGTATGTCTGTCGGAACACCTCTGAGTCCCCTGTACCCTCATGTCTCTCTAGGACTTGTTGCCCCTTCCCCAAATTGGTGGCCGGCTCGGGCCGTGGCAGGGGACCGAGTCTCTCAGAAATCCTTGGGTCATTGATCTTTGAGCTTATATGGATGGAATTCTCTCGACGTTGCTTCAGGAAATCCCGACAATCGCGAAAGACGGCTTTCGATCCTTCTGCCCCTTCAGCAAAGAGGTGTCTCCCTCCACTTCTCATGGTTCGGGTCGAAGCAACTGGGTTAAGAGAAGCCTCATGTTGATTATCAAGTCGAGGGGTAATCTGTTCCCTATCAGGGATATCTATGTCGAATGCATGTGACCCTCCATGTTGAAGGGCACCCAGTTGATGGTTGACTTCCACGGGGGCAACAAGCTCGCGTGTCTGAGCTTGCCTAGCTTCGTGGAGTGTCTCGAAGAGCTTCTCATATTGCTCCTGGAGGACCTCATTCCTCATTGCTATCTTGTTGTTCTGAGCTTCCAACTCATCGACTTTAGCTTGAAGAAGAACTCGTTTTCCTTCCTTCTTTCGTTGTTTCGCACTATGTGCAAGGGGGGTGTCATTCTGTGTGCTGTGGCTTCCTTCGCTTCCCATGTTGGAGAGGGATGCCTGATCAAAAGAAAGTGTACGAATGATAGAAACCAGCTTGACACAGCTGAAGAGAGTAGGAATAAGTGTCGTTTCCCACAGACGGCGCCAAATGTTGATGCACAAAATCAGCGAAGACTTTGGTACAACAGAAAGTGTCAGGTTTTTGTGACCTTCGCTTGGTTGCTTCGGTCACTAGTGAGGATAAGTACGTAAATGAATAGAGACAGAGAAGCAAACACAGGATGTACGTGGTTCACCCAGATTGGCTACGTCCACGGAGTAGAGGAGTTCTTATTAGTAGTGAAGGGCTTACACAAGTACAAAGGATCAAGCTCTCAATTTAGTGAGTTCTTGTGAATGATTTAACACAAAATGGCATTAGGCAATATTGTGGGGGAATGACCCCTATTTATAGAAAAACTTGTAGCTTTGTCACATTGACATGTGTCATGTTGTGATTGGTTCTTGATGTCGACACGTGCTGCGCTCTGATTGGCTTCTAATCTTGACACGTGTCGAGTAGTGATTGGCCTCCTGGTCGGAGGGGAACTCTTCTGGGTCCTTGACAGTATAGCGTTGGCCGGTGCTCGGTAGTTTCGGGATTGGTCAAGTATGGTACAAACACCACTCTAAATCCAAACATAATGAAATAGATTGTCATTTTGTGAGAGAGCGTGTTCAGCAAGGGACAATTTTATTGTAGTTTGTGAATTCTGCTGATCAAGTTGCTGATATGTTTACAAAAGGGTTATGTTCTCCAGAGTTTAGATTCAATTGTTCCAGCCTCATGCTTGGTAGTGCCCAGCATGAGTTTGAGGGAGGATGGATAGTGTGTATTGCTAGGATCATGACAAGTGTCACTAGCTTAGAGTGAAGCTGTCTTAAGGTTGTTATAAGGTGCTAGCTATAAATACTTGGTTGTGAGATTATTACATTCATTAAGGTGAAATACAGAAAACAATTATTCCATCTCTGTCTCTCTAAACTCTGTGCTCTCTACATTTACTTATCTCACAAGAATATGCATACAGTTGACAGAATGAACTGAAAAGATGATCTCTTCATTACTAATTTTCTGTCAAGAGATACAAATCAAGCAATATTAATTCAATTGCTAGTTTTAGCTACAAAAAGCTGGGAAGTTCTATACATGATACAAACAATGGACTTGAGACCTTCGAGGTGGAGTAGGTGTTGTGGAAGCAGTTATAATTGAGGATTTTCGACCACACCCTCATCCGGTCTCTCTTCAAGACGGGGCTTTTTGGTGCACGTCGGCGGCTCAGAGGCACTACAGTCAGTAGCTTTATGCTTCAGTGATTGAGGCGATGATGAGTCGGACACGGCAGGTTGTGGGGGTGATACACAGGTTGATGAAGGCAGTTGTGCGGACACATGAGCGGAATTAGTCGTCTGTGATGACAAAGCTTGCGGAGAAAGTAAAGCACTGCCGGCTTTCTGCTGATTCTCCAAGATCTTCCGCAAGTATTTTGCGTGTTCCTCTATGCGTAGCTGAAGGACCCTTTGAACCTATGTTTGCAATCCAGAATTATACAAGATCAAAACCTAGACTTTCTTAAATGACTCAAGATCTGACCTACCATGAAACCGATGTGCAGCCAAAAGAACAGAAGGAAACATCAACTGTGATCTATTTCAAATGAATTCTCACCTCAAGCTGCTCATGCAGTTGCTTCTGAACTTCCATTTGCATGCGCAGAGCCTCGGTGATGTGAATGCTCCTGAGACAAGAAAAATGAAGTTTCACAAATTAAACAAAATAATATCCAAACATTTGCTGAGAAAACTAGATATGTATGAGAAGCAATACTGACCTTTTCTACGTCCATCGCTTTCGTTAATGGTTGAAGTTGCTTTCTTTTCTTCAGAGCTAGAGGCCTTCTTATCTAAGGAGTGAGGGAGAGTGCAGATCAACAATTTGTAAAAACATTCAACCATGTACATTACGGAAAACAGATCTAATCTTCTTTTTAGCTGAAAAACCATCATGTCAAACTATCTAGTGACATTGGATAAACATGATCATCGACGGCCCAAACTGAAACTATCAACCAAGATCACTTTCTAACTCGCTCAAGCCAAGATAAACCTAAAACTATGCCATCAAGAAACGAAGGTTTCAAACCAACTGTATGATCATATCCAGGCCTGGTTAGTTCAGTTCTCGTGTCGCAGCCAACTAGCAAATAAATTGTACTTGTGAAACAAAGCTCAATAGCTGATGTTACGACTTCACAAAAGCTACGATTTACTTCCAAAATCTGTTCCTACCTTCCTTTTTCTCTGGCATATACCTGGCAAGTCGGTATTTCTGCAGATAACAAGAAATTAACAACATAGGTCAAATAGCTACATTACGTACAAGATTTGACTCTTATATCACTGAAAACTTAAAGATGAGTACCTGTAAGTGGCTTTTCACATGATAAATGGTTAAGCCCTCAACATTCATAGCCTTTAATACACCCTTCGGAGTGGCCTCTGCATGTCAAAGTACACTCATGAGCTCTTCGTAAAAATCGAAATAATGTTGGTAACTTCTGTAAACATCAGCTTAACTAGATTAAGTAATAAAATGAGAAAACTGCTAATTTTATCACTAGACTAACTTATACAAATAGGGCTCCCCACATTGAAACGGAACAAAACCCCAGTTTAAAGTAGAATACAAGGTGTGGTACTTACTTTCAGCCCCATCAAGCCTGTTAACGGCCTCTATAAAACGCTCATGGAGCTCAGGCGTCCATCGCATTCTTGGCCTATGTGCAGAGGCTGGCCCGGGAGAGGGGTGACTTGTAAGAGCATCAACGAGCGGTGTTGTCAAGCGACAACCCTCACTACATGTTGTCAGTCCTATAGCCGGTTTTGGTGAGGGTTGAGGAATCTCATAAATTTCCTATAAAACCGACATCATGGAAAGCAATAGTTACTTGTAAATATATGACAAGAAAATATCACCAAGAAATTTGAAACTGATTAAAAAACAAGTCATTTACAGTTCATCCAAATCTAAAACTTATGTGGTTAAAACTAGAATCGAGTAACATGTATAATTTTTTAGCAAATAGTATTTGATGACTATAATTTACTTACGTCAAGCCCAGGATTCTCTCCATTGTCCGTGATAGCTATGTCAAGTTGATCTGACAAAAATTGTAACTCTAATTGTTCTGTAAGTGCTAGAGTGTCACTTCCATAACTAATACCATGGAAGTTTCCGTGTGAGGAATCTCCATGCAAATTAAGAAAGTCTTTCATGAGATCCTCCGATTGTTCGTCATCATATTGATTGCTTTTATCCTCGCTAAAAAGCAATGGAGATTTTGAATCAACAGCAGAAATGGACTGGCCATATGTTGGAGGATGTGGAAGAAATGGCAAATTCCCAAGCTGACGAGAGGTTTCGGAGCTCGATGAAGAAGACTGATGCAAACTGGTACAGAAAACAGAAGAACGTGAAAACGCACTCTTGGAATGCTGAACAGGGGATCCTTGCATATTAGTAGGAGATCCAAAAGATTTTTCCCGTATGAAAGGAGACACACGTGGAGATGAACAATCACTGGCTGTGACACTCCTGCCTTGTGATTCACTACCCAAAAAATCATGGATTGGGGAAGGGGAATTACAGTATGACGGTTTGACTCCTTTTTGTAGTCTCACTTTGTGGTACACAGATGACACCATGGTGACTCATGATTGCAGACGAAAGCTCAGCCTTCTTCAACCTATCAAATACGTGGTGCAATATACCGACTTCTACTGGTGGAAATCTATATATCTAGATTGAGAATGGATACACCGAATTAGAATTGAAGCTTCAACTCGATGAGCAAAATTGCAATATGGTAAGCAAAATTTATTTTCATATTCCACCCGAGGGGCCAGCAGAACTAAGAAGCTACATTTCCACAGATAAAGTATATTTCCACACCAGAAGCTAATTTCTTAAATATAAAAAAAAAAAAAACCCTGAACCAGTAATTCGGGTACACCAAATTATAGGGCGAAGATCTGCAGAAAAGACCACCGAAACAGGTGATCAGCATTATTTCACGGCATCTAATAACAATACGAAAGGGATAACAAGCAAATACAGCCATTCTGGTCATTGATGACGCACTCGTCGTACCCAGTGCACAAGGCTCCCGCTTTACGCAGGATCTGGGAGAGGTGAATGTCGGCTAGCCTTACCCCCATTTATGGAGAGGCTGCTCCCAAGTCTCGAACCCGAGACCTCCCGCTTTACGCAAGGTCATTGATGACGCACTAACGTAACAAAACCAGAAAACCGTTCACAAACACCTCTACAATGTTCCCGGATTCAAACAGTTCTCAAAAGGTTATTTCCCCCATTTCTCACTCACAATTTAAACATTTCAAATATTAGTGCCACAACTTCATTTTGTTGTCAAATGCCCTCCACATGATTCTTAACAGCTAACACTGACACCATCTTCTCCAATATATGGAGGTAAAAAATTGCATTCATCAGTCACAAAAGGAGTTTCAATTTTGCTACTTCAATATCAAAAACTATGCCACAGAGTTCACCATGTAACTCCGGTTAGGATTTCTCTAACCTCGGCCGATGATTCAAATAACGACTTAAACCAGCAAAATTCAAACAGAAAATGGACTCCTCAACTGAGGATTACTAATAGCTTATGAAAAAATGTTCTGCTTTGGTCGCCTGTAGAAAGTTAAAACTGTCCAACAGGGTCAACAGTTAAAGATTGAACTCAACAGCCTATCTACAATCATGGGATAGCATGATTCACTTCACCCGACTATCAAGTCTTTCCAGAATGGGAAAGTTTTCGTTCTACTTTATATTTTCGAAAATCAAGTTCATAATTATTTTGAGTAATTTGGAGCTCTACGCTCTTCGACTCACATTTCTTTTCTACTGAATTTCCACCATAAATAAAACCATAAAAAAACTCGTCAAAAATCAAAAGAAATGAAAACAGTATAGCACGGCAAAAGGTTGTTAGTAATTTGAAAATCTTCCCTCATATTATAAATAATTAAACAGAAAAAAGCCATATGACTCACCACAGAAAAAATGAAAATTTACAAAATTTACAAAAACCCAAGTTGGAAAAGATCCCCACAAAGAAAATCTTACAGAAAAAACCAGACATATACATATAAACACACAGATATACATATACGAAGGAAACAGAACAGAGATAACAATCGAGAGAGAGAGAGAGAGGGTTTGGATAAGAAAATATACTGACCTGGAGGAGGCGAGAGATCTTTGTACATCCAAAGATTCAGGAACAGAGCAAATGAAATGCTGACTCACAGAGACACAGATATAAATGTCCCGTGATGTAAAACCAACAACGTTAACATGTAAAAAAAATGTTTTCAGAAACGTCTCTCTCTCTCTCTCTCTAAATAAAAGGATGAAGCTTTAACTTCTAAACTAATGGCCTTGAGGCTCTCTCCTGTTTGGCTGCGCGCAAATGATTGAGTTTGTGCTTGTGAGGACAAGATGATGAACGAGATGGTGTACCTGGCTCACGCTCTTTTTGAGGGGGAGATCAGTCCACGCGCCAATGGGATGTGTCAGGTGATGTCTTTTTAAATTTTAGCTAGCCTTTCATTTGTCACAGTTGTCTAGTGGTTGTTTGTCCCTTGCAACAATTTGATGTCGTCACCTTTGATTTATTCCCTTTTTGTAATAATTACAAAAGCACCAACCTAGTCTAATAAGAGAAGACTTGATTAATCATTTTCATCAGCTTTTTAAAACTCTTTTCTTTTCTTAGACATATTTTTGTAACTTGCTTAATATATCTTTACTAATTAATAAAATTCACTTTATCAATACAAGAGAGTAAAAAGATAAATTAATCTTTTATCACACAAAAAAAATTATGGACAATAATATAATTTCATAAATCTAAATTTTACTATTTTTTATTGAAACCTCACCTACTGGTGATGTTAAAATACCTTCAATATTTATAAAAAAAATAAAAAATAAAAACCTTCAACTTCCCCACGTTCTCTCTCTCCCTCTCTCCTTCTCATTTTCTAAAAGGGGTGTGCTATCTACACACCCCAAATTACTTCTCACACACCCTTGTTAATTTCTGTCCGTTGATCTTCTTCCATTCATCCGATCCGACGGTTAAAAATTAGAAGAGTGTGTGAGAAGTAAAATGGGGTGTGTGAATATCACATTCCTTTCTAAAAATATGTGTTCATACACACAAAGTGTGTAGGTAAATCCTAGTAGTCTTTTAAATTAATCCTATTTTAATAGCTGACCGTAGCCTTCATTGCTCTTTTGTTCTTATCAACTTACAGTAAAGGACAAGGATTGTCTGCCCTCCTAGTTGTGGTGCCCTTCCATGCCCTCCTATTTTGTGCGGTCACGGTTAAACCACGTCAACATTTTATATTAATTTTTTAATGAGATAATAAGACAAAAAACAATAAAAATATAAAATATTAACGTGGCTTAACCGTGACCGCACAAAATAGGAGGGCATGGAATGGCACCACAACTAGGAGGGCAGACAATCCGTGTCCTACAGTAAAAAGGGTTTGTACATGCTAGACTGTCAACAGAATTGGATAAGGATACATTTGCTAGGCAAGGCAATGGAATTTTGACACGTAAGCTAGTTTATTTACGTATTATTCTAGGATACGTAAGTCTAAGTGGGATTTGTTGGCGTGACTCAAACATATATTTTAGGAATGTAATCAGAATAGGGTCACATGAGTGATTCAATTTATATTTGGGATTCTTATTTCCTAAATTATAGGACCTCTTGTATAACTATATATGCCTCCAAGAGAGAAGAATAAAGCATACGATTAAACCCTAAACACATATACTTTCATTTTGGTATCAAAGCCTGCGCCTGTACCGTATTGTCACGTGATGGATGGGTTCCCTTGGGCCTGCACGATGATGATGGGTCCCTTGGCCCTGCATGTAGGGTGAGTCCCCTTGGCTCGACATGGTTGTCGATGTGTGGATCTTCCACGTGTGATCCACTAATTGGGTCTCACACGAGGGGGTGTGTTGAAATGTCCCACATCGACTGTATCAATGACAAAAGAAGAGTTTAAATACCCTAATCCCACTCCAACTAATACTGAAGTCTTTTGTGAAATTGTGATAAAACCTCACACTTGACGGATTGTGCATGTGGTAATTACCAAGTTGGGGACAATACCGGTGTTGTTGGAAGTGGGTGAGAAGTGTAGAATGAGATTTTTAGAGTGCTAATAACAATTTCCTTTTAAAAAACAAAAAGAAATACCTTTTGTCTTTTGACGCGTCAAAAGATTAGTAATACTAGTACGATCGAGCTTGAAATACCCCATCAATTGTAGTTCTATCTTTTTTTTTTAAAAGGGAACAACGAGTGGCAAATCACTGTTATCTACTCATTTCGAAGGTTGGGAGGAAGTGTAAAAACATTTTAGTCTCCTCCTAAGCATAAGTTTGACTTCCAGACCAGCATCGGGTTTCGAACCCGAAACCTAACCCTTTACCAAAGATCCCATAAAAATGTTACCACCATGTAGATTCTCTAAGCCAATTAGACGGCAGTTTGAAAATGAATTGTAGTGTGAACTTAACAAGAAGATGAATTAATTAATTAATCAGTATATGATTAAAAATGGGGCTTCTCATACGCAACTTGGTGAATAACTTTTCTTGCTTCTTCAGCCCCAAAGTTCCATCCAAACATCCAATTCCAATACCCATGGTGGACTTGCTATTTCAATCATTCTATCACCCTTTATATCGTCATAAACTTGTTTATTTTAATTTGTGTCCCCTCCTCTTTCTGTCGGTCTCTCTTTCACAATTATTTTAATATTAAAAACAATATTTTACATTAAATTACACTAAAAAAATGAAGATTTGATATGAAGTACAAAAGAATCAAAGAGTAAGCTTTAATCACGATGACGATCCACCATATTCTCATTCCCGCAATTTGCAGCTACTTATTTGGTTTTAGGCTTTTATTGTCACTTATGTGCAAAATATGAATTAGATATGCATGCATATTTACGCACATTTCTTTTATGTGCAACATTGGTTCTTTTGCATCAAGCATGCGAAAACGAACAAGTCCATTGTTTTTTATGTAATTCACGTATTACGTATAGCATTAGGAATTTTTTTAACAAGAGCATAGGAAGGCTATTAGATGCCAAAATGATCGTTACTTTTTTATCCAAATGCCAAATTTGGTACCCTGGGACTAAATCAATGTTTTAGAAGATAAAAATTAGCAAGTGGGCCTAGAAGACTCTGCATATATTTTTGACAATGAGTTTCACATTTGATGGGAGGAGAGATTTTACATGATCTTATAAGTAAGTTGGATTACTCCTCATATTGCCAATTAGTTTTATGGTGAAATCTCAACTTTCTTTATGGTATTAGAGCAAGTTGTCTCACGTGTGAAGCCAAACCGCCACACACACTCCACCTCACCCCATTGTGTTGTCCATGTGTTAGACTTGAAAATTCACCACACATAAGGGGCATTTTGAGAATGAATCCCACATTGATGAGATGAAGGACCTTGCATGGGCTTATAAGAGGTTGGACTACTCTCTATATTGCCAATTGATTTTATGGTGAAACTTCAATTTTATTAATAGTATCAGAATATGTTGTCCCACATGTGAAGCCCAACAGCCACATGTGCTCCACATCACCCCGTTGTGTTGTCCACGTTTTAGGCTTGAAAATTCGTCACATGTGAGGGGGTGTGTTGAGAAAGAGTCTTACATTTGATGAGATGAGAGATTTTGCATAAGCTTATAAGTAAGTTGGGCTGCTCCTCATATTGTCAATTGGATTTATGGTGGAACTTCAACTTTCTTCTGGACTCTCTACGGAAGCTAGAGGTGGAAGAGAGTCCATGAAGAGTTTCACTTTTGAGAGAGTTTCCTTAGCATTCACTACTGCAAAATTAGCTTTAGGTGTTGGATGATGGTGGTCGTTTAATAAGTTATTATGTCGGATAAAACATATCCAACACTAAGAGGGGGCGTGTTGAGAAAAAACAATTTTGGCACTCGTCTTTTGATCATTATGTGCTCTAAATTGGATTGCAAGTTTTGCAACATTTATCTCTAATTTGGATCTGTCTTTCCGCAATTTAAGTTAGATAATTAAGATTAGAGTAAATTGTAGCTATAGTCCTTTAACTTTAATTCAATTGGAGCAATGGTCCCTCAACTAAAAATTTATTAACATTAGTCCTTCAACTCATCAAAACGTGCATTTATGGTCTATCAACTAAAAATCCATTACCATTGGTACCTCAACTTTAATTCAACTGAAGAAATGGTCCCTTAACTTTAACAAAATTGTAGCAATGGTCCTTCCAACATAACTCGTTTTGACAAAAATTTTGACGTAGTTGACGAAAATGACCATGATTACACACTTTGATGAGTTGAGGGATCCTAATTATATAAATGATTATTCCAACATAATTTATTTTGACAAAATTTTAACGAAATTGATGAAAATGACTATAGCTACACATTTTCATAAGCTGAGGGATCAATGGTAATGAATTTTTAGTTGAGGGACCATTGCTCTAATTTGATTAAAGTTGAAGGACCATTGCTACAATTTACTCTTAAGATTATGGCTTGATAAAAAAAAATGTATTAAAATCACTACATTTCAAGCAACAGATGTGTTGATCATTCAAAGATTTTTCTAACATCGAAGGAAACAATTCACATGAATTTTCACCAAAACTAGTATTTTAGTCAAACCATTTACGGCAGCAGATTAATGCCTAATCCATCGCTTCGATTCAATCTTGAGAAATGCTAAGAATACTCTCAGTGACTCTTCATTGATTCTTTGTTAATTCACAGTTTAACGTTAATTTTTATATTAATATTAGAAAATTTTATGCTAAAACATGAGATAACAAATAATTCATAAAGAATCTCACTTTAATATAATTTTGTTAGCATTTCTCTTCAATCTTTCTGATATACTACTATAAGAAGACCGACAAAGTGACAAGCTACTTGAAAATAACAGTCAACCTGCCAACCAATAAAAACCACCAAAATAGTTAAAGATGTTGCATGATCACTGGTTCATTTATATTCCACTTTCAGCTAATTGGCTTCCTCGACAGCATACTGTAATTAGTGGTCTAATAACCAAATGCATGAATAGACTTGAGATTTTGGCTGTTGCAATTATTTTATTTCTACGTCAATAACAGTCCCCACTTTGCGTTATACTTAGTGGTACTAGTGGCATAGATTGTCAAACATGATCTAACAAAATAAAAATTACATAATTTATGCAGTACATCAGTGTATGAGATGCACCGATTTATTAGACAGTTAAATTTTTACAATCTTAATTTAGCCGTTTAGATACCGATGTATGAACAAAAATCTTAAAAAGTGATTTAGATTGCATTAGATTGTTCAAACTTCGAAACATT